TTTTTTATCTACGACCATTTTAACCATATATGCTAGAAAGAAAGAAAGAAAGGAAGGAAGGAAGGAAGGAAGGAAGGAAGGAAGGAAGGAAGGAAGGAAGGAAGGAAGGAAGGAAGGAAGGAAGGAAAGAAGGTAGGAAGGAAGGTAGGAAAGAAGGTAGGTAGGAAGGAAGGACGGAAGGAAGGAAGGAAGGAAGGAAGGAAGGAAGGTAGGAAAGAAGGAAGGAAGGAAGGAAGAAAGAAGGCAAGCTCCGAGCGCACTTTAAAACAAGTAAGGAGTGAAGTTATAAAGCAAGCAAGTGAAAGAAAGCTCGGAATTTATAAAGCAAAAACACCCGAGTAAGGATAAAATAGGGAATAAAAACAAACCTCGTTGTTGTCAATTTTCCAGGCTGCTTCATTCTTTTTGAAACTTCATTTTTCTTGTCATTAAATTGTTTATTCTCTTGCATTTTTTCTTCTTCATTTATATAATCTAATTTCTTCACTTGTTCTTCCTCTAATTCCTCATCATYATTTTCTGTCTTCTCGTAGTCACTTCCCTTCTTTGAAGTCTTGACACCACTTTCTCTCCTCGTAGTTTTACCAACGATTGATCCCCACATTCTTCGTACCGGCATCTTCAATCTGTTCACCGCCGAATGACCCTCATGTAAGGACGCATGTTCACGAGCCTCGAGTTCATGTTCATCCGGGATATCAACCCACGCATTCACCACAACCAATTTGTACTGCAAGTACGTCTTTGTAACCCAGGCTGCTCCCATTAAGGGAACTACAGCCCAGATCAACGGAGCCAAAGCAAACCAAATATAAATAGCGTACTTTTGGAGAAATAGAAAATTATACGCGTTGAGAACAAACGAGGTACAACAGGCTACGAGAAGAGTAGTAAGAACCACCTGAAATTTATGGAAAACTTTTGAAATTTCATCTAAAACATTCTTCTTGATTCGGGAATGCAGTTAGGAGTCATTCGCGGCGAGAATAGTTATTAATTGTTATTTTAAAGTAGGCTTTTTTACTTATAAAAAATATATAATTCCTATAAATGTAAATTTTAAAATTTGAGCAATGATAAAGAAACTTGAACTCGGGGGAAAAAATTGGTTTAAAATCAGACAAAACAATTCTTTTAAATTCCACTACATTTAGAATAAAGTGGAGGGTATTTGGAAGATATTTAACSGCATTCGTTCGTAAATTTTGCCCAAAGCTTTTGGTCATTGAGTCGAAGCCGACACTTRAAAAATGAGCATTTTCTTGAGCAGGTCGAGAAAATGTTTCGCCTTTTTGGGGGTGAAGAAGTATATTTCAAAAAAGTAGGGTTGATCAACTTTTAAATATCAACCCACTTCTTAATTAATTTTCATGAMAGCAAAAAGACTGATTTATTTGAATTTAAACTTATTCCCTCAGAAGGCTAATGTCATTGCAAAAGCCTTCTTTTTTTTCTTTTATGGAAGGGCCAGTTTTTTCTTTTGTTTACAAGTTAAAACTGAGAAGGAATTTTTTCAACTTCACTCGTTTCATAGCCGCCATCTTGGACGACTTAAACAAAATCTATGGATGTGTTCACCAACATGGC